AATCCTACAAGTGTGTTCATATTTAGATATTTGAAGTGGGTGGTAGGGGTATCTGAAGTCAGTTGGACTGGTTTTAGTTAGGCCACTTCTTTTGCACCAGACGTTTCTTTTTGGAGGAGAAAACGATAGCGAGTACATTTATACAAAGTTTCGTTTAGTTGCATGTTATAATACGTATTACAATTTAAGATTTGATATAACTCTCCCACAAATACTTTTAGTGTAAAATTAAGTAAAATAAGGTTTTTTTTTTTTTTTTTAATTTTCAGATAAGTACCCTTAAAATGCCTAATAATTGAAAGAAAGTCATACTGGTACTATAAAACAAAAACTAACATTAAGTGAAAAATTTGAAAAAGGTGAATCTACATCAAATCTACATGTTGTATTTTAGAAATAAATAATTATACAATAGTTTGGATTATCCGTGCCATCTCTCCCCACCATTAGCCCGGATAATCGGGAGTTTACTGTATATGAAATCTCATTAAACATACTAAAGATATTCTCATTCTTCCTAATGCAACAAATAAATTCAAATAGTTAATTAATGTGTTGTATTTCTGCAAATGAAGTCAATAATTAATAATTAATATAAATTTTTTACTACAGTTTACTTTAATAAAATATCTTGTTTATGTGGAATGGAAATGAATTTATTCTTCCAGATACGAAATATACTTCATTATAAAATTTCTTTTAAATTGCTTCAGGAGTCATGACAAACTTATATAGAGAGAAGATTTTTATTCTATTTGTCTTTAGTCTTTCATGAGAAACAAAAAGTTGATTTTTCAAAATCCTATTGAGACAATAAGATTTTGAAATATGATTTAAATGTATCATTTTTTTCCAATTTTATTTATATTATAAATAACTTAATAATTGTGAGTAAACTACTTGAAGTTAGTTTTTGTTCTATAGAACACCAACACTTCTAGTCTCTGACAGTTTTAAATTTTGTCACGTGTTCATTGCAGATGCTTTGTTGAATATATGGATATGTTTTGTTATTTATGAACATACTGTACAATAATGATTAGTTAAATTAGAAAAAATTACTTTAATCCATAAAGTTTTAAATATTAATTTTTCTCTGTTTGAAAAGAATACTAAAAAAGTCATTAAAAAAATTTAATTGAAATGTAAAAAAGTGTTTTTATAATATATATTTTAAATGAAATCAGAAAATATTTCTTATAAGTCTTCATATTATTTGCAAAATTGCTTTATGTATTTTTTTTTTACAAAAATAATTTTAAATTACTACATTTTAAATGGACTAATTAAGTTATTAAATCAATATCTTTTGAAATATTTAGTGATAAACAATTTAGATTTATTTCATCAGTTTAGAAAAAATTTGAAAAAGTAATGCACAAAAGTAGATTCCAAATGTGAAACTCTTACCAAATTGATATGCACAGTGCAATTAAGCAGTAATTTTTTTAGCAATTGAGACAATGATGTCATTATGAAAATTTGGCATCTATAGTGCCAGATTTTCTGAATGTAATCATAACTTTTCTAAATTTTGATCCAGTAATTTCCAAAAATTATTAAATAGCAGCTTCATAATTATTAACAATATTCTCCCACATTTCAATCACTATCACTGTTCATTGATATTCTTCATTTGTACTGACATATGCAAAAGTGTTTCAATTTTTTTTTTACCATTTAGATATGAGAATTGAGATAGTTTTATGCTTGTTAATGTTAATAAATCTAAGAAAAATTTATATTATTAATATATAAATATATATTTTATAATTAAACAGAAACAAATATCAGTATATTATTACTATTCATCAAAAGAAAGAAAATCTTTAAATAAAAACAGATATATCAAATTACTATCAGACAAGACAGATAACTGTAGATATTATGAGATAGACATCGGTTGAACATTCGTCCTTGCACCAGTTATCATATTGCAAAGAATCATATTGTCTACATCCCTTTTTGATGACTTCAAATACTTTGATGAAATACTAGAATCTTATACAAAGGCTAATATACAAGTAAATTTCTTCTTACACTGAAAAATTAATTTATTTTTAAATTTAAAAAGTATTACTGATTTTGATACTATAAATTCCAAATATAATATTTTAAAAATATTCAGAAAATTCAGATTATTTTTGGGTCAATTAACAGATTAATTATTGCTGCATTGTAACATGATGTAACTAATATATGTCTGGAAATGAAGACCAGATAATGTAAACAATAATGATCTACACAGTAAGAAGTAATTGTGGATTTACTTCCCATTTTATCCTGTCTGTTAGAAATTTTCTAAATTATTTAATTAAAATTTAAAAATAATTTCTAATTATTAATTGTATCATTTAACTGCAACTGAACTGCTGAATTTTAGATCAAATTTTATAATTTAATTAATTAAAAACTTCTAAAATAATTTTCTGATGTTATATAATGATAAATTATTTTTATATAACAGCACATTTTACGTTAAATTCTAAAAAAAAAAATTCTAAATGTAACATTTTTATTAATGACTGAAACTATCTTCTTGTACAAAGATTATAAAAGTTTCTATCTTGTTTCATTAGTTATTAATGCTTAATAATATGTAAAAATTAAAAATCTTAAAATACTCATCAGTATTTGTTTTTGGCATACTTATTATATTTTGATATTTCCTGCATTTAGGATAATTTCTTATAGGTATTAAAATATTAGCAAGATAAGTCACTAAACTGGTGTCAGGCAATGTGTATGCCACAAAAACCAAAACAACATGGCCAAGTAGTAAAATACAATTATACTATAGCCTTCTGAATTCAAAAATAACTGGTTTTCTGGTAATTCCAGATTTCCTGAGTCTGATATTTGGTCTGTTAGGATGTGACTATGCAAATGCAAACAAGCAAATTTTCTGAGCGAGCGAGAATGTGTGGCAAGAGATGATGATGTTTTATGCTCTTGTATGTATGGTTGTAATAAATGAGAGTGAGAAACAGAGCATAAAAAGTCATCATCTCTTCTCGCTCACTCACATCTGCATAGTCACACCCTAACTGTAAAAGATTTTAATATAGGAAAGGATTTTACCAAAATATCTTTGTAATATGTATACTATACACTTAAATAGCAAATTTATTGATCTGGGTCAATTCAAATAATTTTAATTTAAAAGACTGTAAAGATAAGATATTTAAACACTGTATTCAGATAGTCAATGTAATTTAAAGTTATGAGTACTTGAGGTTGGATTTCTTTTTTCTAGTTATTGAGGGGAGTTAGTCTGTTATTGTGTTTTGTTTTGATTTGTGTTTTATGATTTATTTATTATATCTATATAATACAGTATAAATTGTAACAAAATTATTGAGCAGAAAAACCAAATAATAATAATAATAATAATAATTCTCCCGTGGTCACCACCTGGTCATGGTGGGAGAGCCCAGTAATTTTACTGAACCAGAGAGCAATACAGGCTGGAGCACAAGCTCCTGGTAAGGACACCCATGCCAAACTTATTTAATTTTAGTTTTATTTTGGTTGCTATCCTTGACTCTGGTCCGGCTTAGTACACAGCCACTGGTGTAAACCAAGTATAACCCACTAAACACAATAATAATAATAGAAAACTTTTATAAAAGCTAGCAGCTGGCTTCACTTAGAACTTAGGATTGAATGTCAGCGGATATTCATTTATTTCATTAAATATTACACAGTTTATGCATTATATTATATTTATTTCAAAATTTCCTGTATGTTTCATTTCTAGTTATGTTATCTATCATTCATAAAGTGATAAAGGTTTTAAGGGGCAGTGAGTTTTGTTGGACATCCAAAGAGAGGGGATTACAGAAACTTGGACAATCTGGTACATGAGGGGAGGGAGAGTAAAAATTTCAAGAAAAATGCAAATGTAATTTATGGATATCTCCTTACTGATATTTACTTTTATAAATCTAAATTTCTATAAATTACACGTAATTACATAGCTGTTGTTAAAAGTACAAAAAACTGATTATTACCAATAATCTGTTGCTTCCACACTTTTTATTTTCCTTTTCTGATTTGTAGAAAACTAATCCAAAATTTATATACATCAGAAAAAAAATTAGAATAAATTACTGGCAATTCTCATTTATAAAAAAAGAAAAAATTAAAAAATTGAAGGGTAACTTCTTATACACATTTATATACTATTTACGTGATACATAAACGTTTATTGTTTTAAAATTTTATCTAAACTTGCATGCCATTTCTGCAAATAAAAGCAAAGTAGATTTTACAACATTAACAATACTAAAAGCCTGTTAATGTCTCTTAAGTAGCTATTTTATAGTAAGATAAGAAAAAAAAAAGTTGTTTCAAGCAACAGATAGTAAATACTACAGCTATAATCAGGTGTAACAGGTAACAATCCAATAAAAGAAAATACTAGTTTTATAAAAAATAATATCTTATTTGATCTAATCAGTTCGTAAAAAAAAATACCAAAGTTATATATTGCACGCATAATTTTGCCGGGCGAGATTTTCATATACATTAAGTAAATGTATTGTTTACATTATATAAACGTTAAGAAGCATTGAAAGATTAGAACAACTCAAAAAAAAATTTTAACAAATGATTAAGAACGCAGTTACACAAGGAAAACTTGAATTAAAACAATGTAAATAATTCTATATTTACTAATTGCGTTGTTTTCCACTAGAATTACTAAAAAATTAATTTTAAATTTAAAATAAACACACACTACCTTTAAAAAAAGTATTAAAAACTGGAAAACAAAGTTAAGAATTTCTGTGAAATTTTTAAATAAATGTAATTGATTATTAACCATACATACCGACTTTATCCACCAATTTTATAAGCTTTTTATACATTTTATAGTGTTTTAAATGAGAAAGTAAGATATTTAAGTTCATTATAGAAACGATTTGCAAAAAAATGATCCCGTAACGACGTTCGAAGAGCAAACTGCAACGTGAATTAAAGAAATGTTAAAATCTTACATTATTTTTAATAAAAATAACCTTTGTATAAGGTAAAATATTCAACGGGAAGCATTTGGAGCGTATTTTGTCAAGTAAAACGTCATAAAAATAAAATAAGCGAGTGGAGAGGAACAGGAACAAAGAGTGACTTTCTGGCCATTTCCGGTTGTGAGGCGCACCACCACCCCACTACGTTAACGAATTTTTATTTTCATATTAACGTATAGTAAACATAATGACAACTTTACCTTTCCAACCAATAAACCTTTGATAGTAATTTCGAACCTCGATGAAATAAAATTTTTGTATCTTTAATGGTCTAAACAGGAAATTGCAGACAAAAGGGAAATGCCACGTGACCGGATCTTATAATCTCGAGCCGTGACGTTCGCGTCTCGCGAGAGTTAACTTGACTTTTGCGCTTGCGTGAAGAAATTTTTGCGGATAGATAGCAGCATCATCGCTGTTCATCAATTCGTAACGATTTGATTACTGTNACTAACTTTGTCCTTAATTTATTTCGGTGCACGCTAAAAGTCCAGGCCTGGCAACTAACAAACGTGAACCCGCGTAAAGTACCCGTTAGGTCCCGGCTCTAAGAAAAATATCGTTGTAGAGCAACAAATTAAAAATAGTACTTTACAACCTTGTTTGAAGCCTAATAATTTCTGTGGTTAAAATGGTCAGAATAGGAGTCAGATGGTTTAACACAGGAGTTAGTTATTAAGCATCAAAGTGGTTGAACTAAATCGTGTCTCCATACACATTCTAACATCTTAGGCGAGAATATCATAACTAGTTTTACTGTACTATTATAAAATGACAAAAAAAAAAAGCTTACTTTGAGGGTAGAGATGAGTTTTATTTTATTTTTTTAAATTTTGAACGCTAATAACGAGTAAAATATTCATTAAGAGATATGACACATGACCCCTTTTATGTCTTTACCCTGTCGACCTTTAATTAAGAACCAAAATTTAATAGTATTAATGCCCCTTTATATGCAAGCTACAGTGCCACATTTTATTTCTTAAAACTTTACCCATTCTGTCTGAGATATTGTTTAATATCTCAGAACAGAAAATAAAGAAATTAAACAAATTAGACGGGTGCGAATTTTCTCTCTTTTATTCACTGTTTGGGGGTTCAGGAGGTCTCCAAATGTGCGTGTAGATTTGCAAAAAAAATTTGAAGGGTCAAATTTGACATGATTCCAATACTTTTCCGTTTTATATACATAACAAGTTGGTAAGTAAAAAGGAGTCAGAGTCGGCGGATTTTTTACAACTCCGACTAAAACACCAAAACTCCACGACTCCGACTCCATAGCATCATGTTTCCAATCTAGTTTCAATTTGATAACATTCAAAATTGGAATGTTGCTTGATAAGTGACACTATTTAATTTTAAGATATATAACATCCTGTATTTCTTGTGCATTTGTAATTAAAAATTATATTACATTTTCATAATCAATCAACAATCAATAAAATAAAAATTCAACTTACTCAAGCCTCTAACTGGTGTGAAAACACGTGCAATGGACAGCGCGTGCACAAAGGACGTTGGACAATTGAACTATTATCGTTTGATTTATTTTAAAATTCGGTGTTCCAGAATAAAGAATCCAGCTAGATTACCCGATGAAGAATAAGGAAGGTGTTCAGAAAACATTTGTTGTTTCGAATTTTATCTTTTCACACCAGTTAGAGGCTTGAGTAAGATGAATTTTTATTATACACACACCGGTGTGCATGTAGAAGTTATATCAATCAATAAAAACTATATATATACTGTATTTACTTGCTTATAAGACAATCTCACATATAGGATAAGGTGTGACTTTAAAGATCAAAATAAAGAAAATTAGATTTATTAATACAATTCTAATTTTATTTCATTTAATCACAAATAAAATATCAAATGCACTTAAATTCACACATTGACCTGCAGAAATTACTCGCATTTTAAACTTTAAGGAAACAATGTTGTAAAATTGACAACATAATTTCTTCATGTAAAGCTTGGCAATCAGAAACCTTTTATGCCAATTAACAGTTGAATCCACTCTCCATTGATTACACTTATGAGTTTCTCCAACTTCTGATTTTCAAATAATCATCTGTTTTCACATGGGAATAGATTAAAACTTATATCGGGCTCCTGTGTGACTTTGAAATTCAATTCAAAAGCTTTGCTTTTCCTATTGCTACTCATCTTTACTCCTGACAATACCCAAGAAGGATTCAAATGACCCAGATAAAATACTTTTGTTTTTAAACACCAGGGGTGAGCATCTGGTAAAAAAAATGCAAATACATGGTTCACAAAAATTATTGCAAAAATGCAAAGAATCCTTCGCATGTGCATATAGGACAACCTAGGTTTTTGAAGCGGTGAAAAATGAATAAAAACCTCTCTTATATGCAAGTAAATACAGTATATAAGTATAACATTAAATGATTATAAAAACAAATAAAAATATATAATTTTTTTATATGTTGTGGTTGACTTACCTGTCTTGCAATAAAACATTCCTATGTGTATTTTCATGCAGTAAATAGAGGTTTGTAGTCTTTATGATTTATGCATCTTCCTTATAATGCAGCTTTAAATATTTCTAATGTTCTTAGTTTATGTTCATTGTACACATGCTCTAACATTTTGGCCTCATTAAGATTTGCAGCACATACTGTACTAAAGTAATTACCAGATTATTGCTATCAATATTATGTTTATGTTCTGTCTTCTTGTTAAAAACCTATCTATAGAACCAATATATATACAACAATTGTCAGTTAAATCTTTCATCTATCACAGGGAAAAGAGCACCTGGAGTATGCTCCAGGTGCTCTTTTGCTGTTTACTTTATCTTTGCCATTCCTTAATAATTTGTAAACAGTAGGATTTCTGTGATAGCATACACACTTATTTGAATATTTGTTTGTAAATTGAATTTAGTCTAAAATCATAGTAGACTAAGGTGTTGGAAGTAGGGTTGAGATTTCCTTGTTAATCATAGTTCCAGCTTTGTTCATCACTTCTATATAGACTACCAAATAACATCAAAATCTTCATTAATTCATTCTCTTATTAAGTACATCCTTGTATATCAGGTCTACCAGTGAATATGTTCAAGCTAAAATGAACACCTCGAATAAAATATTAATAATTTACACAAAATAGTACCATGATACTGTGATATGCCTTTGCTTATACTCTCCCATCTGTCAGTGATATACAGTTGGTGCATCAGCTGTTGGAAACATTGTATGATGTAGTGGCCATCTATACTAAATTTTTATCATCATATTTATTTCTTTTTTGGTTCAATGTCATGACTTGATGAATTTATTGACACTTGGCAAATAATTTCATCATCAACTTTTAATCCACATAAATACGCATTTCGGGATTTCGCCCTCTTCAGTCTGTTACATACATAGGTTGTATCTTGTGTACAGTACAGGCACCTTCCAAGTGTCAATAAATTCACCAAGTCATGACATTGAACCAAACAAAACAACAAGAAGAAAACACGTTTCAACAAATAAATAAAATAATATTAATTTCTGTTAATTATTTAAGTTTACCAAATATAAATCTGTTGAAATCTGGTAAAACTTGCTGGAGTTACAACACAGTGACTGTTAGGAGTGGTATTCCATTTAGTTATAACATTAAGTATTAGCACTGTATACTTGCCACATAAATTGACTACTTAGATAAAATAACTAATACTGTAAACTCCCGATTATCTGTGTGCAGATTATCCATGCATAAATTTAATTTAAAAAAAATAATTATATGTTTATGTATTTTTTAAATAGTTGTTTGCATTCATGTTTACGAATCCTACAAGTGTGTTCATATTTAGATATTTGAAGTGGGTGGTAGGGGTATCTGAAGTCAGTTGGACTGGTTTTAGTTAGGCCACTTCTTTTGCACCAGACGTTTCTTTTTGGAGGAGAAAACGATAGCGAGTACATTTATACAAAGTTTCGTTTAGTTGCATGTTATAATACGTATTACAATTTAAGATTTGATATAACTCTCCCACAAATACTTTTAGTGTAAAATTAAGTAAAATAAGATGTTTTTTTTTTTTTTTAATTTTCAGATAAGTACCCTTAAAATGCCTAATAATTGAAAGAAAGTCATACTGGTACTATAAAACAAAAACTAACATTAAGTGAAAAATTTGAAAAAGGTGAATCTACATCAAATCTACATGTTGTATTTTAGAAATAAATAATTATACAATAGTTTGGATTATCCGTGCCATCTCTCCCCACCATTAGCCCGGATAATCGGGAGTTTACTGTATATGAAATCTCATTAAACATACTAAAGATATTCTCATTCTTCCTAATGCAACAAATAAATTCAAATAGTTAATTAATGTGTTGTATTTCTGCAAATGAAGTCAATAATTAATAATTAATATAAATTTTTTACTACAGTTTACTTTAATAAAATATCTTGTTTATGTGGAATGGAAATGAATTTATTCTTCCAGATACGAAATATACTTCATTATAAAATTTCTTTTAAATTGCTTCAGGAGTCATGACAAACTTATATAGAGAGAAGATTTTTATTCTATTTGTCTTTAGTCTTTCATGAGAAACAAAAAGTTGATTTTTCAAAATCCTATTGAGACAATAAGATTTTGAAATATGATTTAAATGTATCATTTTTTTCCAATTTTATTTATATTATAAATAACTTAATAATTGTGAGTAAACTACTTGAAGTTAGTTTTTGTTCTATAGAACACCAACACTTCTAGTCTCTGACAGTTTTAAATTTTGTCACGTGTTCATTGCAGATGCTTTGTTGAATATATGGATATGTTTTGTTATTTATCAACATACTGTACAATAATGATTAGTTAAATTAGAAAAAATTACTTTAATCCATAAAGTTTTAAATATTAATTTTTCTCTGTTTGAAAAGAATACTAAAAAAGTCATTAAAAAAATTTAATTGAAATGTAAAAAAGTGTTTTTATAATATATATTTTAAATGAAATCAGAAAATATTTCTTATAAGTCTTCATATTATTTGCAAAATTGCTTTATGTATTTTTTTTTTACAAAAATAATTTTAAATTACTACATTTTAAATGGACTAATTAAGTTATTAAATCAATATCTTTTGAA